TGAGAAGGAAAAAACAGAAAAACAAAATCCTTGTAACAAATATGCATAATCAAGAAATCCAAAATGTGGGTCTCATTCTGCATCTTGTGTCTATCACCTCTCCAACAGGAGGTGGTAGCATTCATTACTAGTCCTCTGGAATCATGGTTGGTCATTGCTTTAATCAGAGCTCTTAAGTCGTTCAATGTCACTCATTTTTACAATGTTGTTATTGTACAATTTGTCTTACTGGTTCTGCTTGCTTTGTTGTTTTTAGTCATTACAGTCTTGTTCAACTCTTCATGACCCTATTTGGGGTTTGCTTGGCAAAGATTCTGGAGTGGTTTTCCATTTCCTTCTGCAGTTCATTTTATGATAAGGAAACTGAGGCAAACAGGGTTAAGTAACTTGACCAGGATCACACAGCTAGTAAGTGTCTGAGGTCACATTTGAACTCAGGTCTTCTGACTGCAGGCCCAGTGCTCTATCTACTGTGCCACCTAGCTGCCCTAGCTACTCACTTTGTTCTACATTGTGATGTTTAAAAAGTTTCTAGGTAATCAGTCATTTTATTAATAATATTAGCACGTTTACTAATAAAAAGAGGTCAGTGGCACTTTCTAATGCCAAAGATCCCTCATGACATGAGCTCACAGTTTACATGCCTTTGTAAGAGTAGGTGTTCCTAAGGGTGGCAATCAACTCTGATTGGTTAACAATTAATGAGAGAATGAATATTATAATGAGAGGTGAGCTCTATTAAATTTGGATCACCCAAATCTTGGTCAAGGAGACTTATCAATTTCTATATCACCTATCTGACAAAAGGGAGAATCCACTTTTTCCCAAACCTGTCTGAGTAAACACAATGATCAGGAATCCATAGTCTTTGCCCAAGATTTCCCACACTGGTTGATTTCTGGATGTGGAAGTAAAAAAGGGGGAAAAAACTTGTTCCTGATTCAATACTTAGTTATTAATATAATAGAGAAATAATCATTTCTCTCATTGACAATTTATACAAGTCTTCCCAGATTCCTCTGAAATTATCCTTTCATCATTTCTTATGGCCTAGTACAAAATTAAAGTGACAAACCATGGGGTCAAGACTGGATAGACAAGTGTGCTAGGACAGCAACTCCTCTTACTTTGACACAGCTTTCCTCCCACAAATAACTCCCACACAACTTCCCTCAGCCCCAGCTTCCCTCATGGCTTCTCTGGTCAAGCTTCCTCTCCCCACAAAAGGTGATTGACCCCAGCTTCTCTGACACAGCTTCCTGGCCTAGGGCCAATAAAAAGCCCAATCCATGTGGACTAGGTGCCTTTTAGACTTAGTGGGTGCTGGAGACCAAGAGAGTCTCTATATCCTGATAACTGACTGACCTGCTTTTCTAGATGGAGGAAAGGGGGGCCATTCAGAGATGCTGTATCCTGGCTGTATATCCCTGTTAATAACCTTGCTACGTTAGGGGTAAACAAACTTCCTTTTTAGTTAAATGTACTCACAAGTGCCTCATTTAGTCCCAACATTGAACTTGAACTAAGAGCAAAGCAGTGGAGGAAAAATAGTTTAAAGAAAGTATGGCAAAATATATTAACATCACAGACCTAGATGTAGTTAAAGAAGAGTTAGAAATATCATGAAAGAACTTGAAATTTGAAGGAGAAGAAGAATATGGAAAAAAATATTGGATCTTCTTAATATCAAATAAGACTATGAAGACATTATCAGCTATATGTGTCTACTGTCCCATTTATACAAATTCTATGTGAGTCATCTATACATAAATTGATGGTATTAATAAATGGCATTAGTAGTAATTACTAAAATAACTATTGATCATATAAAATAATGATGTAATTATGCATATAATGAATTATATAAAAATTATGAAAATAATGGTATCAATAGTAGCTACAGGTGATATTCAACAATGATCCACATCTTTACCATTTTACAATGAACTAAAACATACAGAAAATAAAAGATCCCATTATGCCAATTAGCTGTTGACTATAAAAAAGCATTTTATTTGGTAGAACAAAGCACTGTCTTACAGGCTCTTTTACAACAAAGTATCTCCCATGCAGCCATCAACATCATTCAAGATTCCTTGGAAGATACAGTAACACTGAACATCCTGGTTTAATGACCTTCTGATAGTACCCATCAGGTAAGGCATAAAAGAGGAAGATGTATATACTCATCAAAGGTGTTTATGGGAGAAATTCAGCACAGAATTCAACTTGTAGAGTGATTTCCTGTAGATGGTGAGGTCCTCCAGTTACTCCTGTGTGTGGATGACATTGTGCTGGTCAAGCCCTGGAGTACTGCAGATCCTTCTGGAAGAGAAATGTAATCACTCAAAGGAGTTTGGCACAGGTATCCACACAGAAAAGACCAAGCAGATGAAAAATGTCTATTTCCTAGATTTCAACATGCATTTGTATGGATACCCTATAGAGTTCATCCAACAGTATATACAAATCTAGGACAAACAGTTCAGAAAGACAATGAATTAAACTCAGAATTGAAAGGGAAGAAAAGAGTGGGCTCGATTGCTTTCAGGAAATTATAATAATCCTAAATTTCCCATGAAGAAAGGCTCATCTTGCTAGCTGGTAGGATGAAAAGATAGTCTGGTTTAGGTGGCAAGGATAAGGGATGATAGTCAGCCAGACCACTCAGTTGAGGCCCTTGTGATGTCAGGAGAAATCTAGGCCTCCAGAATGTTGGGAAGATTCCCTGCGGCAAACATATGGAAGAATATAGACAAGATATGCCTGGGATGGGCAGGCATGGATGAATTGTAATCTTGATCACTGGATGCAAAATTTCTGAATCAATGAGATCATGGCTCCATGTAAGTACTGAGTTGTTCAAAAGCCACTGGTCTGCTGGTAAATTGGTCAGCAGGAGACAGAGTGAAAGAGAAGACCATATGTCAGGTACTAAAATAATTGAAAAATTTCAGAAAATGACCTAGGAGTTGATAGATAATAGGAAAAAAAGTGGAGGGAAGGCGGTACAAACATGGGGAGAAAGGGGGAGAAGTTTTTTTTAAATTCTTGAAAGAGCTTTGTTGTTTGCTATACAAATGTAAATTTCAACATTTGTTCTAATCTGCTTTACTTTTCTATATAGAAAAGATAATAGATCAACAGTACAGTTCTCTGGCTCCAAGGACACTTATTTTGGTAAAAATGCCCGCTGAAATCACTGAGACAGAAAAACATGCTTATTGGGGAAAATTACAAGTAGAAAAAAAGTTCTGATGAGCTAGCATATAATTTTCCACATTTCAGTGAATGGGTGGCCTCCTTTTGAATACAAGTTTAATACTGCTATTCTTATTAGCAGAACAGCCAATGCTGCATGTCTTATAATAAAATTCTTTTTAGTAAATGTTGCCTGTGGTTCAGATTCAAAGGTTTGAAAGAATAATGATTAGGAGGTGATCAAGGCACTCCCTATTAATTGACTTCCATCTCCTTCCACCCTTCACCCCCAACCCTCCCCAGATGATTCAACCACAGACAGTGAGGGGGCAGACAACAGAAAAAAAAGTTGTGTTAAGGTTTTAAATGAATCATAAAGAAAGGTTCACATATCCTGTATAGAAGTGTGCAGAGGTCTTCAATGAAGCTTGATGGAATTAGAACTTGCTAGGCTGCCTTTGAAAAAACAGCTTGCCGAGTTCTGCAGACAAATTCTAGGAGGGAGAGTTTTATAGGGTGTGACCCCCCCTCATAGAGCAGGAGTTCTTTACTTGGGATCCTGTGAACTTCAAAAAAAATAGATTTTGATAAAGCTTTATTTCACTACGACTTTTACTTTATGCATTCAAAGATGTGATTCTGATAAGGGGTCCACAGGCTTTACCAGCCAGCCAGAGGGGACTGACCATAGTGCGCGTGCACACACACACACACACACACACACACACACACACACACACACACACACACAGAACCCCTCTAGAGGAAAGCTAGCTGTGGAGAAGAGTAATTTCCTCTCAGAGCTTCCTACCTGTCTCAAGAGCTGGCTGGTTAGTTTAAAAAAATTTTAAAGCATTTTTATTTAAAGTTTTGAGTTACAAATTCTATCTTTCACTCTCCTCCCTCCTCTCTTAGACAGTAAGCAATCAGATACAAGTTATACATTTGCAATTATGTAAATTATTTCCATATTAGTCATTTTGTAGCAGAAGGCTCAAGAGAAAAAAAATGAAAGTGAAAAATAATTGCTGTCCATGGTCTTTTTTCTCCTCCTGTCCAAGCAATAATTCCTATCTAAACAATACTCTGTCTTTCCTATTACAATGCCTTTCTTGTTGTCCTTCCCTATCTAACTTTGAGGAAGTGTTGCTGGATCACCAGCTGAGGCTGAGCCCACTCCTTGTTCTGCACCAATGCACGTAGCTGGATTGGGTTCAGCCCTGGGGGAAGCCTACCTCCAATGAGATGGGTTAGGTTCCCATTTCTCAGAGTCTTCAGCTCACTAAGCATCCCACCCTGGTATCTCCCCACAAAAGAGGAGTAGAAAAAGATATTGAATGTAGAATTTGAATTGGTTATGGAATAGGTAACTAACTTCTACATACCATAAAAAATACCAAACATAGGATACTCACAAGTGGTGTATTTGATGCTCCCCCCAAAAAAAAAACCACACCTTAAAGAAGTTAATATAACTCAGTTTATGACTTATAATCTGTTTCAATGTTACAATCTGCTTGGAGACTAACCTCATCAGAACATAAAGCAGTTTGTAGGACTGTTAACTGGGCATTTTACATTTAACCTTGGTTTATCACTGTCTAACCAACTCCATTTAAAGGTCTGCTGGCAAAATGGTCAGGCTTGAGTCCATTTTCCTATCAGTGACCATCTTATCTGACATAGAAACTTCCCCTGCTGTCAGCCACTGCTGTTTTGGTGGTTGATGCTGCTGCCACACATGTAGACCTCTGAACTCATCGGGTTACCTCCAACTGTAGGCATGTCCATCTCCAGATTGCCGCTTGGTCACCTACTTGTGAAACAAAACACAAAATAGGAAAAGGAAATCACGGATCGAAGTACAAACTCTCCTAGTTGAGTCCCCTTAGCATTAGCTGCCAAATGAGCACAGTTGCCATTAAGCTGTGATCAAGAAAGGCCAACCTTTTCCCACCCCCTTTAAAGTGCCAAATTTGCATCATGTCCTTTGAGAGTCAAAAGCAAGGTGGATGAGATGGAAGCTGTCTCTTCTTTGAACTGCTGCAGTACCACTTCCCCTATCCCTGTCATAGAATAGGGAGAGGGCCAATGGACAACTTGTAAGTCATATCAGATGGGCCACGTGATACCAAAATGCCATATCCTCCCATCACTTGACCACCACATAATTGTAAGTAGGTCCCAAAGCATGCAATTGGTCTGCTGGACACAGGAAGGGCAACTCAGAGCATGGTATATGGCAGGGCCTCTGATATGCCCAGAAAATGTTAATTCTCTCTTGTATTTCCTTCTTGTTCAATGGCATTTAATGTGCTCATTTGTGCATAAGATACAAGACAGAATGTAGCATTTCACAGAGATGTTGCAGTTGCTCAGAGGCTACTATTGTGAAAATGAGAAGACTGGATTAAAAGCAGACCTGAGGATGGGATCCTTTCTGGGAAACAAAAGGCACATTCTGGATCTGATTCTGAGCGAAATGAAGGAACTAGATGGTGAAGTGGAAATGACAGGAACCTAGGGAACAAGGGACTGTGCAGTCTAACAATGTAGTGATAGGGAGAAAATACTCTTAATTGATAGATAGTATGCTGGACAGGATAGAGCATTAAAACTGGAGTCAAGTGATTTAGATTCAAATTCTGACTGCCTCTTCCCATTGTTAGAAATAGGGCCTTAGAGAAATAAAGCCTTCTAGTTAAAAAAGAAACTAAGCTCGGAGTGAGTGAAGAATCCTTTATTACAATTCTTGCAAGAGAACCTAGAACCAGGCATATCTGTCAGAAGAGAGAGCACTGATTACAGAAGCGAGAAACCGTTTTTATACTGTTAGAATGCCGCAACTCCTCCCTTCCAGGCCCGGATTGGTCCGTTCCTTTCCAGGTTACAATCTCACCCATCTCATGTCCCCTTGACGTGCCCCCCCCATCACTCATCCAAAAGCTCTTGTCCTTTGGCCTACTTAGGGCTAATTAAAACCGTCTCTGCCCTCTAGAACTTTGGGGCCTTTCTCATTGGCTTGCCCTTTCAAGGTTTTGTAAGCTCATTAAGACAGTGTGACTTGTTATTACCAAATTCTTTGCTGATGTTTTAAGATGTCAAAGGTTATCTTAAATTGTGGGAGCATGATACCTTGTCCCTTACACTATATATATAATCTTGGGCAAATCTTTTAATTGGGCCTCCTCATCTGTGAAATGATGGGATTGGATTATATGACCTCTTAGATTCTTTTCAGCTCTGGATCTATAATCCTAAATGCATTAGAAACAGCTTGGTTTATGCTCTAGACTTTAAGATGAGAGAAATGATTATTAATAACCAATGACTCGAGGAGATTCAGATTTCTCCCTTTTCTTAATCCTCATTTCAAGACCTCAGTCTCTGAAGGTTAAACTAATCTCCTCTATCTAGATACCACCCAGGTGGGGCAACAATTGTGTTCTGCTCTACCTTGGGTGGGGCATAAATTCTTTGAACAGATTGCCCAAGGCTTGAAGTGGTGGTGGTGGTGGGGAGTGTGAAATTTAGGATGACATAATCAAAGTTCAAGTCCAGCTCCTAATTGTAATATTAATTCTCTCATTAATTGTTAACCAATCAGAGTTGACTGCCATCCTTTTGAACACTCCTCGTCGAAAAGAACATATAAACTGTGAGCCTACCGCCATGATTGTCTTTGGTCTAAGAGAGAGATGGCCAAATGACCACCATTTTATTAAAATGTTGGCATTATTAATAAAATGATTTAATTACTCAGAAATTATGTCTCTTGAACCTTTTTAAATGCCACAAGGAGAATAGATTTCAAAGAATTCGGAAAAAAGATAAAGGCTCATGATCTAAGACTCTAAAAAAGAGAGTAAAAAAGAAGAAGAAGAAGAAAGTGATGTAGGAAAAAAGGACAATGTGAAATAATTTAAGAATCATTTGGACTTCCTGAAAACCATGACCAAACAAAAACTGTAGATACCATATTTCAAGAAATCATAAAAGAAAGTTGCCTCAGACTACTAGAACTAGAGGGCAATATAAAAATAGAAAGAATTCACAAGTTACCCCCCTCAAAAGAAATTCAAATTAACCACATCTAGTTATGTCATAACCAAGATCCAGAGCTTTCAGGCCAAATAAAAAATGTTTCAAGTGGCAAAGAAAAAAAAGATCAAGTACCAAGTTACCACAGTCAGGATCATACAAGACTATGTAGCAATTAGTGTCACTGAAAGAAAATGCTGGATTATGATATAACAAAAAGAAAAAGATTTGCCATTAAGAATAATGTTTCCTACAAAACTGAATATAAATCTATAGGAGGTTGGGGAGAATGGATCTTTAATAGGATAGAAGACTTTCAAATAGTCTTGCTGAGAAAACCAAAACTGGATAAAGTTTATGAAAAGCAAATAAAAGTGACAAGAAAAATTTATAAAGGCAAATTCACTTGAGTAATTTGAAAAAGCTAACTGTTGGTCAAGTGCTGACATACTAATAGGGTAAGAACCAGGTGTAGTTTAGAACCAGATCATACAGACTTTTAGTGTCGATATTTACACCTTGGAAAAGAGCAAACATTACAAATCAGGGCTCAATTTATCATTTTGTTGATTTCTAGACTTAAGAAGGCAATGGAGAAAATGTTAACAATTTAGATTAAACTTAAAATTGTGTCCTGAATATACACACACATATCTACGTATATATACACATATATGAATGTTTATTGATATGTAATGTATATACATGCATACCAGAAAGCCAGTTCTTTTTTTTTTCTTTTCTTTTTTTTTTTTGTGGGGCGATGGGGTAAAGTGACTTGCCCTGGGTCACATAGCTAGTAAGTGTCAAGTGTCTGAGGCCTAGATTTGGACTCTGGGGCTGGTACTCTATCCACCGCTCCTTCTTAAACATTTGACAGCACACTCCTGGAAGAGACCATTGTCCTTTCAGAATCCCATCGTCTTTAAGGGGCAAAGAGGGAATAACTAAAAATAAACTCAGAGAATGAGTATGGTTGTGTGCTGTTTTGTTTGCTTTAAGAAAACAAAGAAAAGGAAGGGAAAACAAAATATTTTAGGGAAATAAATGAAGGAGAAAGCTGCTATTTCTCATATTTGGTGCATGTCAGAAGAACATAACAACATGGAAGTTAAAATAAAAGGTAGATACTTAGTTTTATCTGAACTTGATAAAAGAAGGTAGAACATATATACACATACACACCTTGATATTGACCTGCTTTATAACCAACAGGGGAATATTCAGGGATAAGGAGGGGGAAGATGGAGATTTAATAGAGTTGGGGAGGAAATAATCACAAACAAAACAAAGGTCAACTACGAAGGGCTGATTATAAAGGAAAAATTAAAAGAAGAGAAAGAAGAAAGGTAAGACCCAGTGATGTGGGTCTGGGTTGAGTAAAAACTAAAAAGGTAGAGTAGGATCAGAACATTCCAATTATAAGTTACTAGTGTTGATCCTATACCTTTATTCTCCCTACTTTCTTTTTCATTGTATACTAGGGGGTGGAGGGTTGAAAGAAGAAACTTCACAATGGGATATGATGGAGGAGAAAATGCTGAACAGTCATAATGATGAATATGAACGTAATCAACTGATAAAATGAAAGAGGCTGACAGAATGTGTTGGAAGCATAACCTAATGACTTATTGTTTATAAGCAACACATGAAATATAAGGATTTGTGCAGAGTTTAAAAAGAGGGGCTAAAATATAAATTTTTAGTAAATTTTTGATTATTAATGTCAAATAAGGCATAAAATAGAGAGACATATGCACTCACCATGTTGTTTGCCATTATTAATGAAGGATGTCCTGCATGGTGCCTAAAATAAACAGAGATTCCATATATGGAATGGTAATGGATAGTAAGGTCCTCCATATGTTCCTCTTTGTGGATGACATAATGTTTCAGAATTTTGTAAATGAGATCTATAGTCACTCAAAAGAATTTGTAACACTCTACACAGGGAAACTAAATGGACAATGAATATCTATTTTCTAAACCAGAGATTCTCTAACTTTTGGGTCTCAAGATTCTTTTACACTCTTAAAAATTATTGAGGACTAGATGCAGCCAGGTGGTGCAGTGGATAGTGCTTTGGCCTTGGAGTCAGGAGGATGTGAGTTGAAATCCAGTCTCAGACACATGACACTTACTAGCTGTGTGGCCCTGGGCAAGTCACTTAACCCTGATTGCCTCACCAAAAAAAAAAAACCTTATCAAAAAGAAATTATTGAGGACCTGACCCAAGAGCTTTTATTTATTGGGTTATGTTTATTGATACTTGCTATATTAGACATCTGAATGTCTTTGTATTATTATGACAATAATTTTGACCACACAGACTCCCTAAAAGGATCTTGGGGATATGTCCCTGGATCACTCTTTGAGAACCACTGGTCTGGATTATAATATGCATGGATAGAAAGCCCATCAGGACAGATACTGCAGATGGCAGGCCCAAAATTGAATAGGAGGAAGACAGCGGTATACATTTAGGAAACTGAGCAGTGATTTCAATAACTCTAAGCTTTTCTCTACAACAAAAACCCATCTTTTAAAAAACCAATATTATTCCAGTGATGCTGTATGGACACAAATATTAGAAATACTATAATTTCCAGTGAATCAAGTATGTGTCTTACAAAAAGGCAGTAGAGAAATATATGGCAGACATAAATAGGTTGCATCATTTTATGAGTGATGATTCATGCAGAAGAAGCAATACAAAGGATATTCAAAGAGATATATGACCAGAAAAGATGAACCAGTTAAGATACTGCAAGAGTAGGACACAGTGGATAGATATCCTGTATGCAGAATTGGTACTAATTTATTGTTAAGTTACCTAGAAGAAAGTCCTTAACATCCTTTTGGATGGACTACCATTGAGGAAAAATATTAATACTCCACCCTGCATTTTAGGCACAAGTCTGCCAGAAACAATTTTTATTTAGTTAAACTAGATTATAAGATCCTTGAGGGCAAAGACTGTCTTTCGTCTCTTTTTGTATACCCAGCACTTACCACAGTTCCTGGCACATAGTAAGCTATTAAAAATATTTATTGAATGAATGAATTTAACATTATATTAAACCCAAGCACATCTAGAGAGAGAAATGTCCAAAAGGGTATTACCATGTCCTTCTATCTCTCTCTACTTCAAGACAGTATGAGATAACTTTTATAGAAATCTTGAAAAAAAGGTCATATAGTTTAGGGTGAAATACAGTTTAGGGTTAGTATTTCAGAATAGTTACTTAACAAAAAAATCACTTAACCTGCAATGATGGTTATTTATTCCTTTCTGAGCTACTCACTTCAAGAATTGAAAAGAGTCTCTTAAGGGGTACAGCCAAGATGGTAGAGTAAAGACAGAGACTCAACTGAGTTCTTCTAAATTCTCCTCTAAACAACTTTAAAATAACACCACAAAATGAATTCTGGGAGCAGCAGAACCAATAAAAAGATGGGGTGGAAGAATTTTCCAGGCCAAGACAACTTAGAAGGTTGGCAGGAAAGGTCTTTATTACTGGGATGAAAGAAGGGAACTCTGAGTGCAAACTGAAGTATGATTTCTTCACTTTCATTATTATTGTTATTTTCGATTTGGCTAATATGGAAATATTTTGCATGATTTCACATATATAATTGATATCGTACTCTTTGTCTTCTCAGTGGGTGGGGAGAGGGGTGAGAGAGGGGGAGAGAATCTGGAACTCAAAATAAAAAAAAAGAATGTTAAAAATAAATGACAGAGGATTCTGGGAAGATGGTAGAGAAGGTTCAGAAAACTTTTGGCTCTCCAAATTTCCTCCACAAAAAAAAAAAAGACACAACATCACCTCAGAGCAGCAGAAATAAACATGGAGTAAAGCAACTGTCCTCCTAAGACAATTTGAGAAGACCCCAGGAAAGACCCAACCTCCAGGGGTAAAGGTTTGGCCTGAGTGAAGTGCAAACACCTCCAGACTGACTCTGCAGAATTAACAAACAACAAGTCCTGGGGGCAACTGGGTTGGGAGGCAGCCTCAGCCTTAGACACTTTCATTTTGCAGACAGTGTGAGGATCTGAGGACTAAGTAGGAGAATATTGAAGGACTTTCCTCTGTCGAGGGACGCCAACCACAACTGTGCTGACCAGACACGTCCCAGGTTATGGCCACAGGGAAGAAGGAGCTAGCACACACCTGGTGAGTGCAGTAGTGAAGGGTAGGGACCCTGTTGACTATGGGTACTTGTAGGAGAGCAGAGTGCCTGGTTTCAGTTCCAGGGAAGAGAGGGCAGCCATAGTTTGCAGCCACTGGAGGGGCCACAGGAAACAAGAGTGTTTGTGTGATAATGGGGCTGGGGGGCCCTACCTGTGGCTTAGGAGTGGAGGGGAGAGCCCTAAGGTTAGGGCCCAAGACAGACTCAGAAGATAACAATAAGAAGGACCTGAGACTTGGAGCATCATTCCCACACTTTGGGACTACAACTTGATTTACACTAATAGCTGCTAAACAAAATTTTAAAAAAATGAATAAATAAAAATGAGTAAGCAAAGGAGAAAGAACCCAACCATAGATAATTACTATGAGAATGGAGAAGATCTGGGTTCATATTCAGAGGAAGATTATGGAGCTAAAAAAGCTTTTCATTGAGAAATGTCCAATGGTCTCAAGCACCAAAAGAGTTCTTGAGGGGCAGCTAGGTGGTGGAGTGGATAGAGCACTGGGCCTGGGGTCAGGAGGACCTGAGTTCAAGTCTGGCCTCAGACACATAACACTTACTAGCTGTGTGACCTTGGGCAAGTCACTTAACCCCATTGCCTACCAAAAAAAAAAAAGAGTTCTTGAAAGAACTTAAAAAGGACTTTAAAAATCAAATAAGAGAGATTGAGGAAAAATTAGAAAAAAAAAAGAGCAATCCAAGAAAATCAAGAAAAGTATGAAAAGAAAGTCAACCAACTTGAAATAGAGAAGCAAAAACTTAAGGAAGAAAATAATTCCTAATATTATTATAACTATAAGTGAATGACATTCTAAGACACTAAGAAATCAAAACAAAATGAAAAGACCAACAAAATAGAATGGAAAGTGAAACATCTCAGAAAAATAACTGATCTGGAGAACAGATCAAGGAGAAATCATATAAGAATAGTCAGTCTACCTGAAAATTATGATAAATAAAAGAATTTTGATGCAATATTACAGGTAATTATCATGGAAAATTGCCCTGAAGTTCTAGAACAAAAAGGTAAAGCAAAAATAGAAAAACTCTACTGATCACTACCTGAAAGAGATCCCAGGAGGAAAACTTACAGGAACATCGTAGCCAAATTTCAAGCTCCCACATTAAAGAGAAAATATTGGAAGCAACAAGAAAAAAAACAATTTAAGTATCATGGAGCTACACAAGCCTAGTACAATCTACTACACAAGACCTAGTAGCTACTATGTGACAGGACTGTAGATCTCGGAATACGATACTCTGTAGATCAGGGCTTCTTAAACTTTTTTCACTCTCAACCCCTTCCGCACTTCTTACACTGTGGGTCACAACCCCAAAATAATAAATTAATTTTTAAAAATTTAAAACGGGGACAACAATATCTCCTATCTCCCAGAATGGTTGTGAAGATAAAATGAGATGTTTATAAAGCACCCTGCAAACCTTAAACCACTACACAAATACTGGCTATTATTAACAATAAAAGCCATTATTATGACAAAACAATAAGTGTTGGCATTCTATAGCCCTTTAAAGTTTGCAAAGGGCTTTGCGTATGTTATCTAATTTTATTTTCCCAACAACCGTGGGAGGTTAAGTGCTATTCGCTCCATTTTTTACTGACAGGGAGACTGAGGCAGACAGGGGTGCCCAGACTTGGCCAGGGTCACACAGCTAGTAAAGTGTCTCAGGCTACATCTGAATTCATATTTTCCTGACTCCAGTCCAGTACTCTATCCACGGCTTATGCGAAAACATGGGTAAGGACTGCGCAGGATGAGTAGGCTTGGAAAGGTATCTCTCTAGAGCAGCCTCAAAGAGATAGGGAGCTAATCTTTCCGGAGGGGCTTGTCACCCTACAGCACCTCCTCTCAAGAGGAGTACATATACGTCCTAGAAACGAACTTCCTCGCTCGCCACGCGACGGGTCTTTCCTGACTACATTTCCCATAGTACTTTGCCAGCCTCGCGACACTTCCCTCGAGACTGGTGGCAAAGACTTGCGAGATCACGGAAGGCGCGTGTCCTTTTGGTTTCCGGCCTTTTGCTGGCTCCGACGGCGTGGACATGGTTGGCGTGTCGTAGGCCACCCCAGGGAGGTAGCCTATGCGGCGGGCCTTGGTGGGTATGCTGGGCTCCACGAGGGAATGGTGGGTGCAGGCACCTAGAAGAAAACCGAGGCAAGGCTCGGAGAGGCTTCTTGTTTAAGAGCGTGGCAGCCCGGGCCTTCCGGGATCCCTTGACCCTCCCAGGCGATATCCCAGGCTGTCCTCCGTATAGCACTGCGATTACACTGTGCTTAGCTTGTGGGGAGCGTTTACTAAATGCTTGATGCTCGAATGACTAACGCCTTCTTAGGGCCCCCCGGGAAGCCCTACGCTCCTTCCGGACCCCGTGACCTCCGACTTCATCCGTACCTTGGGCAGGAGCACCCGCTGAGTTTGCATTAGGAGGCTAATATGGGAATATTAGAATAGGGGTTTTCTTTTGGTTTGTTTTTTTTTTGGTGAGGCAGTCGGTGTTAAGTGACTTGCCCAAGATCACACAGCGCGTGTAATGTACCTGGGTTGGGATTTGAACTGGGGTCCTCCCGACTCCAAGGCCTGTGCTCTCTCCACTGAGCCACCGAGCTGCCCCAAGAATAGTTCTTAACGGTCATTTCCGTCGTCGTCCCCACCCCCAAACCTACATTCTACCCTGGGTCCTTCCCAACCTCCTATCAATAATGTATTTGTCATCCACAGGCTTTTCATTTGCTTGGGGAAAAATGGAGGCCACGTTGATGCCAGAAGGGATTGGCCTTTGAAACTGAGAAATGGAAGAGCAGGAAACGGTAGTGTTGTTTTCTTTAAAAGGTGGTGATTGGGACTATGTAGAAATGGATGAGGATCATAGGATTATATGTGTAGAACTGGAAGGGGTTTTAGAAATAAATGAGCACATATTCACATCCAGAAAAAGAACTTTGGAGTCTGAATGCAGATAGAAGCATACTATTTGCTGTCCTTTCTTTTGTTGTTTTGTTTTGTTTCTTTCTCGAGGTTTCTCCCATTAGTTCTGATTCTTCTTTACGTCATGACTAATGTGAAAATGTTTAATATGAATGTATAAGTAGAGCCTGTATCAGATTGCACGCCATGGCGGGGAGGGGGGATGGGGAGGGAGGCTGAAGATTTAAAACTCAAAATCTTATGGAATGTTGGAAACAAAAAATAAATTAATTGATTATAAAAGAAAAATGAGCACAAAAGTCCTCCAGTTTTAGTGATGAAGTTCAGAGTTTAAGAGATTTGCCCATGGGTCACACAGCTTGTAAAGATTTAAGTTTTCTTGATTAGGGATCCAGCCCTCTGACGACTTTGCCATACTTGCCTCCCAGCCAAGGGTTCAACTAATGTTGACACCTAATGTATCCAGAACATTGTTTAGGAGGTGGGGAAACAAAGTTTAGAGAGGGCACTTGGCTCATAGATTTTGCCTGGCAATAAATCCTCCAATCTGTTTGCTGGCAGTCAGAAATCTGACTTCATCATTTTTCTTATCCTCATACAAAAGGAAAAACTATATATATCAAAGTATTAGAAGGTCCTACATGGCAAGTGCAGTGAAGAGAGGGAGGGATACGTTTAGAGTCAAAGCACCTGTGCTCCCCACTTTCTGCTTGTGTGAACCTTGCACAAATCACACAGCCTCAACCTCTGTGCCCCTCAGTTTCCTTACCTGTAAAGTGATTGGACTATATGATCTGTTTGCTTCTTGCTCTAATTTTTTTTATCGTAATGATCCTTGCCACTGAAGAGGACCAGAAATTTCTTAGGGCCCATGCTAGTGTTGTATGTATGCCTTCTGCCATAAAGCTAGCAGATGGTAAGGGGAGTACTTGGAAAACCTGACTTGGTTTGGCCTGGTTATTAGAAACTTTTGTGAGAGCTGAGCTAGTGATGATTATAAAGTTATCCCTGTCTGAACAGCAGTTTTTGTGTGGATTCTGTCTTGCTGAGGCCCAGCTCTGCAAACTTAATTCAAGAGTAAACATGACGTGAATATTTGTTTGAAAATTCTTATGTATATGTCTTTTGGGATGCCAGATGCTGTCTGCTTTTAGACCGTGAAAGAAAGCAGATGAAAAGGTCTTCTTGGAAATGTTAAGATTGTTGGATCTTCTAACTTGCACCTTCAAAGAGTAAGTAGTGTGGCATAGGTTCCTTTAAGTATTAGTTTTGTTATTGGCCAGTTTAGCCGTTAATAGCTAATGTCATGAAGACCCTGTGAAATATTGGATAAAGACTTGGTAGCCCTGGGTTTTCTACTCTAGTTCTCTCATTAACTAGTTTTGTTATGTTAATAAAAGGTCATGCTAGATGTTTTCAAAGAGTCCATTCCACCTCTGATTTTGTGACCTTAACGAAACAGTGGGTTTATTTCCTACAGGAGACTCAGTGCTATACAGAAAAAGAGGGAAAGAACTATTATTCCCAGTAACTCATGAATCTCCTGGGGTGGAAAACTGCTTATGGTGGGGGGACACAGTTAGAGAAGACAACCCCCTAGTTCTCAGACTTTTTCTGGGCTTAAGTCCATTGGGAGGTTCCTATCTCCCACTGCAGACACACCCACTCCTCTATGAGAATGCTTTTCAATAACACCCTATTCCCTCTCTTTAGGGTTGACTCCCTCCAGTTCTTTGGTCCCAGTTTCCTCTTCTCCCTTTAGGGTGTGATGGCCCCCCCCTTTTTTTCTTTTCATATAGACTGACCTGAAAACATGAAATGATTTCATTACTTAATGTTTTCTCAACAATTGTACTTAGTTTTCTTGTGCTAATTTTTGGGGTGTTTGCAAAACAATTCATTTGCCTGGGTGGTTTTTGGTTTTTTTTTGGCATGCCTCTTCATATGCTTAAGGTTGCATTGTATATTTAAAAGACCCAGAAAACCATAGTCTTATACATTACAAAATAGCTTGAAAGGAAAAAAGAAAAGCAATGCTAGTGTCTGTTCCTAAGACACGCTAGATTGACATCTATTAAAAAAAATAGAACTAAGCAAATAATTCCTAATTTCTGTAGAATGAGTGATAACAATACCTGGTACTCAGTCTGTCTACCTTAAAGTGTTAATGTGAGGAAAAAACAATATGGGTATGTTAGTAAAAAGTCTTTGGCTAGTTATATTAAAAAGTGCTTTTGTTCTAGAGGAGGGTTTTTTATCCTTTTTGTGTGTCATGGATCTTTTTTCACAATCTGAGGCCTTATGATCTTCTCAGAAAAATGTTTTTAAATGCATAAGATTGCAAAGGAAGCCAATTATATTGAAAGTGATCAGACTTAAAAAAAGAAAGTTCACAGGCTAAAGGTTAAGAACCCTTGTACTCTATAGAGGTTGATGAATTGATGAGAGCTGAGCTGGTGATGTTATGAAGTTATCCCTGTCTGAAAAAGAAAAATGTGGAATGAGAACTTCCTGAAGCTTGGTTTGCTTTTAAAATACTGCATTTAAAAAGAATGGGATTGGGGCAGCTAGGTGATGCAGTAGATAGAGTGCTGGCCCTGAAGTCAGGAGGACCTGAGTTCAAATCCAGCCTCAGACCAAACACTTGACAGTTAGTAGCTGTGTGACCCTGGGCAAGTCACTTAACCCCAACTGTCAAAAAAATAAAATAAAATAAAAAGAATGGGATTTATTGATTTAAGAGTTGACTTAGATGAGTGTTTTATTGTGTTAATTTTTTTGTAGGGTACAGTCTCTGCCTCAGCTAGTGGGAAAAGAAGCTTATGATTTGAGGATCCTTTTTACTCCTATAGCTGGAAGACTTTAGAATATCACTGATAGTAGAAGCATATCTATGCTAGGAGAGAAGTAGAAAACTTGTTCTTTACCCTAAAGCAGGTAAACACTGTTGAAAAATACTGAAGCTTGGTGACCTACAGATTATCAGTAAGTACTACACATTAGTGGGTTTATGTAGTACTTTGGACTCAGTCATAATCTGTTTTGCCTTAAGGCAAGTTGAAACATGAGAATTCAATGTTTTGTGCCCTGGAAGCTCTAAAAGCCAATGATGTTTTGTTATCCCTGTCTGAAAACTTAAGTGAGGGGAAAGCAGATCACTTCTGAGGCTTAGTAGCTTGCTGCTGCAGTAGTCTGTTTATATGTCAACTATGAAGTTTGTCTTTTTGTAAGGATTCAAGATTTAGAATAAAATATACTGCTTTGATTCTTGTTTATTGTGTACAATCTGCATGCCCATTACGGTTTTAATGTTCCTGCCCTAAATCGGAAGACCCAATTCAGATGTACGTCTTATCATCTTGAGAGATTCAGCACAGGTACTCAGTTTTGAGTTTTTTCTTCTTCACTCCTCAGTCCCAATTTGCTCTTCCTACCTTCAACCAGGTGAAAGTAGCTACACCTTGTTCCTTTGAATAGCTGTAAACAAAATGGCCCACATAAAAACATCATCTGGACTGTAATCAGCCAAAGGAATCCCCAGTGGATTGTTTTAAAAATCATCCTCTAAGTACTTAGATCATTCTGAAGCTAAAATTGCGTTTATTCATTCACTAGTCATTCTAACAGACACTAAGCACATACTTTGTGCAGAACGTTGTTCCTGGACAGAATGTCGGAAAGGGAGGTAAGACATGGGTCCCTGTCATAGAGTTAACTAGAGTCGTACAATAAAATATTACTTGAGGTCAGAGGTGAAAGGCCTTATTGTCCAGGTGAATCAGGAAGAACTTTCTGGTAAGTAGATAGCATTTGCTTTGGACTTCAAAGGGGGAGTAGGGAAGAGAGGCCAGAGAGGTCAGGTGACTGGCAGGTTGATAATCAATTTGGGTGGAGTAGAAGTAAACTAATATGAAATGGAAAGGCAGTAGCACCCTTATTCATTCATAGGCATTAAGTTAATGTCCTACTCCCTGGAACATGGTGGGGGAAGTTCCTCTGAGATCTCAAAACTAGAGGTTTGGAGTTAGCCTTCTTGAGTCCTTACTCAGTCTTAGCAAACACTGCTCTAGCTAACCTTAGGAGCCCATTCTCTGTGTAAGCCCTACCTCGTTCTGCCCTTCCGATTAAATTTTGTCGTTGTTGGCTGGGACATGCCTACATATCATTTTCTGTGAGTAAAATAAAACCTAAATATTGCTGTCTGGCACTTTCTGCTTAGAAGTCGCACTAAAGTCAAGAGTGAAAAGACATTGGTTAAATAATTTTGTTGTAGGAACGCCCGTTTATTAGGGAAGACAAGTCAAGTTTTATGCCAGTTTAAAGAATACAGTGCCCTGAAATATCTTCACCTCCAGCCACTAATCTTCTTGGCTGCCGCCCTTGAAGTCGGCGCTTTGACATTTAACAACAGGGTGGTGGTACAGCACCCAGTGGCAGTTGCCTAGCTGTTTGGCTCAGGGTCCTTTAGGAATGGCATATCTGGCATGTGGCAGTCTTTCAGGCAGCCATCTAAGAACCTTTGGGCAGAGCAAGGAGGTTGTGGGGGTGGTGCTGGAAAGCTCTTTGGCTTTTCTACATTTAAATGCCTGTCTTGAACTTAGATAGAGGACTGCCTCTCTTTTCCACTGAAAGAAAAGAGTGCTTATGTGTGGGCATTTCATAGTTAATCTCACATTTTTGGCTCATCCACTGGAGAAGGTTTGTGTTTGGATTATAGTTTAGTGGACATGAGAGTGAACCCCATTAACTTACAGGCTGAAATCAAACAGTGAATTGGCAGATTGATGACTATAAGAGAAAAGCTTCATTTGGTTCAGTGAAAGGTTCAATGATGGTTGACCGCTGACCCACAAAGTAATCAAGCCCTATCCTTTAAAACCAAGGTGATTGTGAGGATATAACTACCCTAAGTGAAAATATTCAAGGAAACCGTCAGTGACTTAACAGTTCTAGATTCCCTATTGGGAGAAAAAAAGGCAGATTATAAGTAGTTCTGGAACTTTCCTCACATTTTTAAAATCACTTTTATATAGTGTCAATTTATAAAGTACTTCATGACTTTATGAGATGAGTGGTACAAGTTTTAACCCCATTTAAGAAAATGCAGTGTGGTGAAGGACACTGGAATTGAATTCATGTAAGACTTGAGTCTGCCACTCCCAAGTCTCAGTCTCTTCATAAAGTGAACCATCTTATTTAACTAATGAAGATTAATAGGTCCAAGATTATTTAACTATTAAGTGGTGGCTTAAACCTTGAAGGTCTTGCGACAATCCAATACTCCAGTACCATGTAATCTACTTAGAGGGCCATGCCCATACAAAAGTCAAGTCTTTGCTCCACCATTTGTATACCCTTGTAGATTCTGCATGGGGCAAACCTGCAACACTGAACTGGGGTTAGGAACCTTCTATGTGGTGACCATTTGTTGGCTGCTATTTGACTTGTCGTTTTTTCTTTTGACAGGTATTTTCTACTGTTGAAACTGCGTGTGGCCGCAAGCTTACTATGTGTGTATATACTTTGATGTATATGCTTAAAAAATAAAGTTACTTGAAAACATGTTTCATAATAAGTATTAAGTTCCTAAATCTTTTTCACCTAAACATCTGTTACCAGCAGCAAAGTGGGCAATATCAGTGTTATTGGTAAGAAGGCTGAATGATATTTATAACCTTTTAAGTTTAGTGTGAAAAGCTATTAGGTTTATCATAGACTTTCTGAATGTGCTTCTTCGGTGCCAGTTATTGGAAGGCTTAGAGTTCTGACTTCCAAAGCAGTAGAATTTTCATCTGCTTTATGCGAACAGGATTGGTAAGCGGTTATCCTTATAATTGACTGCTCTGAAAATCCGGTCAAAAACTTCACAGAGTTCTTGGCTCCTGGTTGTGATTGCCACACATCCTGACTTCCACCCTAATCCCACTTTCCACCAGCTTCTCTGCATTCTAACACCATAGCAAAAAAGACAAAAGAAAAAGATCGTTTAATATTTATGTAATTATACAGAGTGGTAAAATGTTTCCAATTACAATTATCCACCCATTCATCAGGTGGAGTGCCTCCCCTCCCCTCCCTATTGGGCAGAAATTCATCTTGCAGGAATTGATCTTGTTATCCTCAGAGACCTGCTGTTATCTTACTGAATGATTCTTGTTGAACTGTTCTTTAATATTGCTTTCTGGTTGTCTCTGGGCAGAGTTTGAAGTTTTGTTTTAAGAAATTTTTTTTGGCTTTTTGAACTGTTTTGTGGGGTAGAGGATGTGATTTTAAAACGCGAGAAAATCAGCAACAAGGCACGATGCCCCCGGCTGCATGTTACGATTGTTTTTTCATCTCCATTGTGGGTAGGGCATTTTTCCATTTCAAGATAATGCCTCTGCAAACCATTTGCTAATTCTTAACCTAGTACTGGTTTTCCATATCAGAAACGTAAATGACTTTGTAAGAAAATGCTGAGCTTGGCAGTTGGAGTACTTCATGGCTTGGCTTTGGATTCAGCGCTGATAAAGATTCATGATGCCTGCATCGTGCAAGTTCTTCCACAGATTGCCTTCCATGTGCATATCATGATTGACGTAAAACACTAAGGGCTGCTTCTTGCTGTCATAATAGTGGTCAGAAAATTCCTGGTAATTGCTTGTAATGAACCCATAGGCGCTGACCTGAAAAAGAAGAGTTTAAATTAGTTCATAGCATTTATTGCCACTAAATGCATAATCCTGTGAAAAAGGGAGATATTGTCCCTGGTTCAAAAGAGGATTCATTTATTTAAAAGTTAATTTAAAAAGTTGTGTAGTGCAGCAGTCTCAAGGATCATTTATTCCAAGGGAGACAACATGTATATAGGAGTAGGTACAGAATATATGTTAAAGTAATCTGGTACGGTAGTTTTGGGCTTGGGGTACTCTAGCATCTGGCATGGGAAGGTGGGGTGTAGGCAGGCAGAAAAGGCTTCATGAAGAAGGTGCTTGAGCTGAGCTAAAGGGAAGGAGGATATCCAAGTGGCAGAGGTGAGGAAGTTAATTCCAGGAATGAAAGGTAACCAGCACAAAGGCATAGAACAGTAAGATGCAGGATCCCGTGTGCATAACAGTGAGATGGCCTATATGCCTAGTGTGTGTGTTTGATCACATGTCTGATAGGGAACCACTGGAGTTTGAGAGGGGGAAGATGTCAGCTATGCTAGAGTGATATTCCACCTGTATTATAAGAAAATGGCAGCTGTGCAAAGGATTGGTTGGAATGGGGATAGGTGTGTTGGGTAGGCCCAAATAGAAGACTTGTTTTAGAGCAAGCAAAGATGCCTAGGGTGGCTGAGACAAGATTGCAACTAACCGGATATGTGGGATGAATTGAATAGTCAAGGATGACATGTTGGGAACCTGAATGGAAGTGCAGTGGTACCCAAAACAGTAATAGAGAAGTTTGGAAAGGGGGTGGAATTTTGTTTTGGATATAATTGAGTTTGAGATGTTTGTAGGACACCCAGTTTCAAATGCCCCAATAGGCAACTCAGGAGAAGAGCTAAGACTACATAGGGATAATTGAAGGCATATGAATTCATGAGATCACTGGGGATGGATGGAACAGCTTTGGGGGTATGCATGCTTAGAGTTAACTTAGCAAGGATGGTGTATCAGCCAAGGGTACTGAAGAGTAGGGGTTAAGGAAATCAGAGAAAGTTGAGTTTTTGAGGAGAGTGACTTGGTCACGTTGGTAGGCATCAGGAAAGGGTCCAGTAGATAAAGAGAGATGGAATGTCAAGAAGAGTGGGAATTATGGTGAGGACAATGCCAGTATTAATATTAAAATCCATCAGAAGGATTGTGACTTATTGTAACAGCTAGTATAGGAGGGGAATTTGAAACCAGGTCTTCCATCTTACTCAACTAGTAGTAGCATGTGAGGCTTTGGACCCCATAATTTTTAGTATTGGTAAGGACCATTTTATTCTCTTTTAAAAAAAAGATTGGAAGATAGTTACTGTTCATCCCCAGTCATACATATCCTGAGATAAAGGAAACAGGTTGGAAAGCAGTATGAATGGGAAAAGGTTAAAATATGAGTCCATAGCAGTTTAGTAAAGGATGATGGGATTTTGCCTAAAGAGTGGGGGTGGGGGGGTGAAGGGGAGGTGGGGTGACTGAAGGAGGCAAATGCTCGGATGGGTTACCACGAGTGTTTCTCAGGAAGCTGATTATAGGCCTAAGGATCTAGTCAAGATCCCCAGCAGGGAATAATCAGGTTCACTGGTGGCCATGGTCTAAGTACAACAGGACTGTACTAGGAAGAAGAAATATTTCTTACTTGGTCACAGGTATGCAAAGCTGTCAGCAACATGAGGGCTCCAGTACTGGGCATGTACAGGTACCCATACTTTTTACTGATGAGGTCTGATTTCAAAAACCTGAAGGCAAAAAGAAGGGTCATGATTTTTCACATAAAAATTTGAATCCATGCAAATCAGAGGCCTCTGACAGTTAGCACTCTGGCCATGGGTGGTATTGCATTTTTGTAACAACTAGCACAATTGAATTAGAAAATGTTTCTTCAATGGCTTTTAGGATTCGTCCTTTGTTACTCATATTCCCATGCTGGTAGCCCATCTCTTAGTTTGTATACCTTATCAAGGTTGATAGTAGTAATTAGAAGTTGCTGTTATATAATGGAGCCCAACCCAATCTCTTCCTGCCTGGTTCCCTCCTCCTTCCCACCAGCCCCACCTTTGTCACTGATCTGTCTTTGAGGGAGTCCCACAGTGAACTCTTTATTGAGCCCAAGCCTAAAATTATCCTTTGCCCCCAGACCAGGAGGGAACAGACAGCTTATGGTACAGTAGAAAGAGCATTAGTTCTGGAAATGAAAGACTTAGATTCAGATCTCTCTTCTGATCTTTATTCATCTGTACAACCTGAGCCTCAGTTTCCTCATCTATATATTGAGAGGATTGGATTAGATGGCTTCTGAGGTCTCTTCCTACTGTAGCTCTGATTATCCGTGAAAGGAATAAGTGACTCTATTCCCTTAAGCCCCAAATCCTAAGGATGGTGAGGGGCCTGGGGTTAAGTGAGGCCAAACGTTGGCTAGTACAGGAAAGGGATCAGACTACAGGAAGTGTAGAGAGGGACAGGGCAGGAAGATGCTACTTAGTGCCTGGATCAAGCAGTGACCACCCAGTGGTGAAGGAAAGTGTTGAGGGAGATGGAGGCAAAGGTCAGGGAGTTGATCTGAGCACTGAAAAGGGCCAAGGCCCTGGCCACCCTCCATACCTCTCTTTCAGGTAGTTGATGAACTCGGGATGCAACAGCTTGAATTTACTCGCAGAGGTGTCTGGTCCAAAATAGGTCTGTGGCCTAGGAGTTTTCACGGAAGAAGTGTACAGAACGATTATAAGTAATATCAGAAAATTGAGGTGGAGATGATGATGTTATTGGGACAAGGGACTGATGATGCCGCCGCCGATGAGCTCGGGGATGAGGATGGTATCGAGAGAAAGGGGTATAGAAAGTTGCAGGTATTATGGTAGGAGCATGATAGGGTTTTGTTAAAGTGAAACAGTCTAAAGCAGGCTGGTGGGTTAGAGAACAAGGGGGTGTGAACAGCCCATTAGTAGTTGGGTAAGTGAGCTTAAGAGGAGGGAGACGAGGAGGGGCAGGAAAGACTGGAAAATAGAGAGATTCTCCAGGTTTGGATTTCTCAGGAGGGCAGGGGTAGTTACAGGGAAAGCAAGGAGTGAAGGGGATAGGGACAGTAGGTGGCTGAAAATAAGGGTTTGAGGTGAGGAGGTGGGAAACATATGGGGCAATATGGGAAGGGACAAGAGGAGATTGAGTCCGAGTAGGCCATACTGTTGTAGAAGGAGAAGCATTGGCAGAAGTTTGGGAGGCTTGGGAAGGGGATTTGGAGGGAGGTGGTGTGGGAGTCTGAGAATGACTTCGGGAGGGAGGTCGGGTTTGGAAGGGAGATGGGTTTATAGCTGGGGTGGTAGTTTGGGAAGGAGCTCGTGTCGTAGGTTGAGAGGGAGAAGTTGGTCCACCAGGAGTTTGGGGTGGAACTCGAGAAGAAGAGGGAGATATGGGAGGAGTCTGGGTTGGTGTTCGGGGATTGGGTTGTTGATTGGATCCTCTAGGTGTTGCATGAGGTGGGTTTTGAGGAAGGTGGCCCGAACGGGATTGGGAGGGGGATTGGGCAGGGGAAGGATTGGGGGATTGGGAGGGGGAGTTCATTGGTGTTGGGGAGGCTACTATCTATCTTATAAAACCTAGCCTCTGAGTGAACCTCTCTTAGGAGCCCAAACCCCTCCCGGGTCACAAAAGTCATTGTTATCACCATCACCATCATCAATTAGTAATTATTGAGTGCTTACAAAGTCCAGGGCACTATGCATGCTTGTGAGGAGTTAAGAGGATGGCCAACCTCAAAATCTCCTTTTGTGGGGGGTGAGTGTAAAATGGTTAGGGTTTAGATTTTTTTTTTTTTTGCCTTGGTGTGGGGCTAAGTAAAGTTAGATAGATGTTAGGGGGAGCTCTGAAGGAAATCATTTCAGGCACATAGAATTTCACAGGAGACAGCTCAGTTTGGAGCAAAGAAGCTGCTTGGTCTAGGAAAGAAATGAGACAAAGGACAAATAAATCCCTACTTGGCCCATTCAGAACTGAACTCTGCTACCCATCACTTGTGGTTCTTATAGACTAATCATTAGAAAGAGTTATTGGAGGGGCAGCTAGGTGGCATGGTGGATACAGCACTGGCCCAGGAGTCAGGAGGACCAGAGTCCAAATCTGGCCTCAGACACTTGACACTTAGTTAGCTGTGTGACTCTGGGCAAGCCACTTAACCCCAAAAAGGCCTCAAAAAAAAAGTTATTGGTGACCAGTAAGGATATTTACCTGGCAGTGATGTTACCTGCACTTTTCCAAAGGGTGGGATATCATGGGAATGAAGAGCTTAGGTCTTAAACTCTTCCTCTGCCTTGGGAATTTGTCAACACTGCTTGGAGAAACCTTGATGGTGGCCTTCCCTAGTCTCCGCTCATCCCATCTCACCAATGGACCCCCTGGGTGTTAGGATGCTAGTTAGGCAGGTTATGTTATATAATAACTACTCCAGCTTCCTGCCCCTTCCTTTTCCTTTACCCCCGCACCATATGATACGATACTGCCCCTAACTGGCCTAGTCTACTTACTTATCTCCTTTGTCATGGCCCTCAGGAACAGGCACCCCCAGAACGGCTGACTTTAACATCAGGTAGTCCCGTATATTTGAAGGAATGAAGATATAGTGCAGGTCCTGCCAAGGTGATAAGAGATAACTGAGCCAGCAATGTGGGTTGTATATTTATCTAGCTCAGATACTCCCTCTCCAAACCTGGGCTGGCCTACTAGAGAATGACCTTCAAGCCTTCCAACTCCCATCCCCTGAGATGGGATGCCAGGTACTTTTGATATCCTTGATAATCCCCAGGGCCCAGAAAGAGGCTCTGGATTGAGGAGCTAGTCTTCAGACTTGACAACAAGACACACTTGTCTGGTTGACCTGCTGTACAATTAATTAAAGGCTCTCAATTGTAGTCCCTCAGTGTCAAAACAAACCAAAAAACTTACTGGGAGATCCTCGTCCTACTATGTCCCCCACTATGTACTTGCACCCTCCCTCCACACCCCCAACTGACCTCCACTTCCCACTTCTCTTCTGAGGGGATAGAGTCTCGGCTGAGGCAATAGGGAATCTCCCTCTCTGAACTTCTAGTCTCCATGGCAAGGCTTCTTAAATTCTTTGTGTGTCATGTACCCTTTTGGTAATCTGGTATCTGGTGAAATCTAATTTTCCCATCCAAGTTTGTGGACCCCCTGAAGTACCAACTAGCTCCAGTCCTTCTCACAATAATGTTTAGAATGCATAAAACAAGATATATAAGATTACAAAGGAAGCCAAAGTTTAGTGAAAATAAAGATGCAATTTTTTTCCATCTAAGTACATGGACCTCCTGAAATCGATCCCCAGGATAAAAACCATTGCTCTATGCTATGGGTCAGAATCTCCTGTGAAGCCCAGAATTGGGGTCTGAAGGGCATGAGGATTAGTGCCCCTCATTTTTCCAAGGGGTTCTAGTTGTATAGGTATAACCTGTTGACCAAGCCCTAAGGGCCTGTGTTCTACGAATCAAAGTCTTCAGTCCCATAGGCAGTACTCACTTGGTGCTTGGGCACTGAAGTGAAGCCCAGATGCTTGTAAGCTCCCAGGGAGTTCTTCATTGTGTTCACAGTGAAACCATAGAATGAAGTCTTGGTGCCCACATCTTTCTCATAGCCTTTAATCACAGCCCCATTGAGCCTGAGAAGAAAAGGAGTTCCCCGTTATACCAACTTCACTTCTCATTAGTCCCCAACTCATTTTACCTTATCTAAGTTGCCCTATAGCCTCCTCTCTGCCAGTCTATATCCCTCCTCTCTCCAAAGTTAAGGAAATTCTTCCTATCTCGGATTGCTGCTTTCATCCATGTTCTTTTGGCACTTATATCCCTTTTTTCTACCGTATTAATTTTCATGTATTGATTCATATATTTGTTCTTAAGTCTTTCCATGAGCATGTCCTATCTTTCTCATTGGATTAGGAGATACCTCAAAGTCAGGCGCTATTTTTTCTCTTTATGCCAAAAAAGGGAGGTTCCGATTTGCAGTACTTACTCTACTTTTTACCCTTCTCCCCCTATGACCAGATGCTCTTCTTTCCCCTTTTTTTTAGCTATTCTCCTCCACTCCATCACCTCTTCCCCCATCTTCTCATTAGCCTTCTCTCCTGACTGGGCTTTGTTGCTCTCTTACCTGAAGACAAAGTCATGAGAATCAATCTGTAGACCTTGACGGGACCCATTGAGAATGCCACCATTTCCCACAACAGCACATCGAATGCAACCCAGCCGTTGTTTCACAGAGAAATCAAACAGCTGAGCATTAGCTGAGGTATTCAGGAGGCTCAAGGTGGAAGCGATAGCTGTGGGATGGAAACCAGGACAGTGGGAGCTAAGGAGTGAGTCTGGGGGAGGCATATCACAAGCTCTTAACTCTTAGCCCTTTTCCCCAAAGAAAAACCAGCAAAGACATGGGGTAGGAACGATGGACCATTGACCAAGACAAAGAAAGTCTGGTAAGAAGGTGCAGGGCTAGGGGGAGAAGGCAGTGTCAGATTTGGAAGGGAAGCTATTAGTATAACTTGTACTTTGTTCCTCATCACTCTTGAAGCTTTTAAGAATCCAGAAGGGCCAGGGTCTACGGATCCTTAGCTAGGCCCAAGTCATGAGCATATATTGAAGAATAACTCAAGCTTGCAAAAAAAAAAATCTTAAGGGAACACAACAATGAAGATCAGAAATGAGGACCCTTCTGCTTCATTGTGAATGCCTATGCCCCTCTTCTCAGATCAGTAGATTAGTCTAAAGGGCAAAGGGGTCTTTTCTTCTCAGTGGTCTTTGGGGAAACCTGCATTTCATGGACTTTCCAAGAAGAGGAGGAAAACAGCTACGACCAAAGCCCAGGATAGAGATGTGCTCTATCTGACCTTACAAAGTTGCCCCAACTAGACCCCGACGTCTCTGGTCTTCCCTCCCACACTAGATACACGCAATGGGGGTAGTGGAGGAGAGAGAAGCAAAAGGGATGTGGATTGGGGTGAGCTCTATCAAGTAGGACCCTAGGCCTAGGAATTACAACAATTTTGGCAGGAACAATAATAGGCAAGGCTGTTTGAGGTCACTGGAATGTTTGCCATCTGTATCTGGACATCAGAACATTCTGAGTAGGAAAAGATAAGATACTCCACAGAGCTCCTCAGCCCTCTCAGACTGGGGCCATAGCACCCAAAGGCAGAAGGATGGGAGATCCCTGGCTCTAGCAAGATGCCTTTGGAGAACCTAGGGGTGAATGAGAATGTCAGTGAAGGGAGTGCTCAGCAGGTGTCTGAATTTTGGGACAGTAATCAGTACTGTGAATACTGTGGCTCCCTTGGAATGGATCTCAGCTTGTGGGTGGGAAGGATGAGGGGAATCCCATCTTACCTAAGGGCACTAGGGATGAGAGGCAGCGAATGGAAGAAGCACAGGGCTGGGGACAGCAGCAGAAGATTACCTTGGTAGGAAAGCCCCCGCCAGCCATAGGGGGCATTCTGTTGACTCAGTTGGTCCCAGAGCTCCTGGGTGAAGAGCCTGCCATAAAGCAGCACTGGGATACTGAAGTTAAACTTATGCTTGAAAAGGTAGTGTTGTTGAGTGGCAGGGACCAGTGGGCGGTTGCAGGACTGGTGCTGTGGGGGAGAGGTGATGTAGCTCAGAGTTTAGGCCAGTATGAAGATGGGACAGTCTGGTGGGGAACCAGGAGGCCTGTCAGAGGATAGGGGAAGGGGGAGAAGAAGAGAATAGGAAAGCAACCATTCTTTCTACCCAAGGTGCTAGCACAGGGGTGGGGAACCTGCGACCTCGAGGCCACATGTGGCCCTCTAGGTCCTCAAGTGCGGCCCTTTGACTGAATCCAAACTTCACAGAGTAAATCCCCTCGATAAAAGAGTTTGTTCGGTAAAACTTGGACTCAATCAGAAGGCCGCACTAAAGGACCTAGAAGGCCACACGTGGCTTTGAGGCTGCAGGTTCCCCACCCCTGCACTAGCCACATGGCTCAAGAGACAATTCAAGCTTATCTGGCCATGCTAGGACCTCTGAGCCTTTAAGAATGGCGTCACCCAGCTCTCATAGGGAATTCAGTTTAGTAGAAAGACTGGGAGTGGGGACATCTGAACTTGCCATTAACTCACTGTGTCATGTTGGGCAAATCGTCTTTCTGGATCTCATCTATAAAAAGAAGACTATCTCTACAATCTTTTTAATTCTCACATATCATGATCTACTAACCCTGCTGAGAAATGGCCCAGCTTTCACTTTCCCAATCCATCCAGCAAGCATTTACCAAGTACCTACTAAATGCAAAATGCTGATCTAGGTCATGAGATTCAAAGAACAAATGAGGAACCATCGCTACTCTCTACTATCATCCTAGTCTTTGCTTCCACCATTTCTTAGGTGTGTACGTGTTCACTTCCCCACCTTTTGAAATCCTACCCATTCTTCAAGATCCAATTCAAAAAACCATTTCATCCACAAAGCTTTCCCTGATCTCTCCAAGTTAGCAATGCCATCCCCCTAGTCTCCACTTCATATAGCATTTTGAACCTCTTTTATATATTTATTTTACATTATTTCTTATTATAGTTCTCTGTGTGTATACTATATTTGCAACTAAACTGTAAACTCCATGAAAGTAATAAGTGTGTTTGTTAAACTTTATACCATATTCCCTTTCCTTCCCACTGCCCCCTTCCAACCATGTGTAGTGAGTGCTTTACATGCAGTAGGCACTTAGTAAATGTTTATTGATATGATAAATTATAATTTATTTATTTAGTGGTGAAAAAAGGACCCTTTCTGAATATATAACTTGCCTCCCAGCCTTACTGTATTATCTTAGACATCATTACATTTTCAGGTAATATTGTTACCTTAGACTTGTTTATGTGTTGCACTTTTAAGTCTTGCCCTATGAGTGTGTGCCCTGTCCACCCGAATAGATTTGGAGGGCTTTGTATCTTTTCCTCTGTTTTAACCCCCAGTGTCTAGAGGGATGTTTAGAATACGAGAGCCTCAGGCTATAGGATTGCCTAACTTGTTAGGGGGTGGGGACAGAGAGCAGGTGACTAAACAGTGTAATCTCTGGATCAATCCCAACATCAGGGTATTTATATGTGTGCCCACTCTATTCTTGGCACTGTGCTAGGTGCCAGACAGGCATGGCTACAATAGGTGTCTCCTCGATTGGGATTATCTCATTAGGGCCATCTTCTAATCCTGTCTTCTGCCCTCCCCCCCCCCACCTAGGATTATTACATCCCTGCAGAAGGGCTGATTATCATACCTTTCTAGTCCAAGCATTGGTAGATACAGATGATATGTCCCTGTGGGGAGAAAACAAAAAACAGATAAACAAAGGATCCGTACTCCTGTCTCTTTGTGAGGTGGTATAATGGATAGAGAACTGGACCAGGCTATTTATAATTTTATACGTTTATGCCTCAGATGCCACCTGTGTGACTCTAAACAAGTCATTTAACCTCTGCCTGCCTCAGTTTTTTCATGTATAAATGGGGATGATCATAGCACCTACCCCTCAGGGCTGTTGTGAAGGTGAGATAACATGTAAAATGCTTTGCCAAATTTAAAACACTATCTAAATGAAAGTTGTTGTTGTTGTTATTATTATTATTATTATTATTATTGTTAATCCTCTTGATTTCCTCAAGTTCTTGGACACCACACAGTCTCCTTTGTCTTTCTTGCGTAGGTCATTTAGGTTATGGGAGAAAAGCAAGCCTTTGATTCTTTTTGTTTAAAATATTTATTGTAAAGGGCAGGTACAGGTGGTGCAGTGGATAGATCACCAGGCCTAGATCCAGGAAGACTCATCTTTCTGAATTTAGATCTGGCCTCAGACTCTCACTAGCTGTGTGACCCTGGGCAAGTCACTTAGCCCTGGTTGCCTCAGTTTCCTCATCTGCAAAATGAACTGGAGAAGAAAACAGCAAACAAACCACTCCAGTATCTTTACCAATAAAGTCCCAAGTGGGGTCATGAAGAGTTAGACATGACCGAAAAAGGACAGAACATGAAATTATTATAAACTTAATAATGCTCTGAACAAATCCAGTTAAAGAAACAAATTGCATATGGGTATTGAACAATATTCTTTTATGTACATAAAGCCACGGAAGCCAAAATACTTAAAATTCAGTTAAAAATAATACTTTGATGGATCTGTGGCCTTGTCTGTGTGGGTAATTCCTCCACCAATTAGATTTACTTTATATCTGGCCAGAAATCTGTCAAATACAGAGATGACAGATCCCTGGACAGAACTGAAGTATACCTAACCAAAACTGGTAGGAATATATTTTGCTACGTATTTTGCAAATATAACAAAAAAGGCTTTAGACTAAAGAGATTATATGACTAAGGCATTCAGGGTAACTAAATAAGTTAGAGGAGCAAGGAAGAAAATACCTTTCAGATCAATAGATAAGGGAAGAATCCGTGATCAAATAAGGGATATAGAAGATCAGAGAAAATAAAATGGACAATTTTGAATATATAAAATTCAAAGCTTTATACAAACAAAACCAAATGCAATTAATATTCGGAGGGAAATAAAAATTAGGAGGGAAATTTTGTAGCAAGGTTTCTCTGGTAAAGGTCATATCCAAGATACACAGGGAAATTCTTAAGAACAAGAACTTTTCTCCAACAGAAAAATGATCAAAGGATGGGAATAGGCAGTTATCAAAGGAAGAAATCCAAGATGTCAACAAGCATAGAAAAAATGCTCCAAATTACTAATAATCAGAGAAATGCAAGTTAAAGTAATAATGAGATTCTACCTTATTCCTATCAGATTGGCAAAATTGACAAAAAAAAAAAAGGAAAATTACAGTTATTAGAGGGACTGTAGGAAAAAAGTACATAGATGTACTGCTTCCCCTCACCTCCAATTTATTATTTATTTATTTTTAATATAAATTTTTGAATCTTGAGTTTCAAATTCTCTCCCTCCTGCCCTGTCCTCACTCATTGAGAAGGCAAGCAATATGATCTCAATTATACATATGAAATCATGCAAAATATATTTCCATGTTAGCCACATGGGTATATTGTTGATGGAGCTGGGTATACCTAGACAATCTGGAGAGCAATTTGGAATCATGCCGCCAAAGTCATTAAATTTTGCATGACCCTTTCATAACCTTTACCAGGTCTCTATCTCTTAGAGAACAAAGAAAGAGGGAAAGAACCTATATGTACAAAAATATTTATATCAGCTCTTTTTGTGATGGCAAAGAACTGGAAACTGAGGGAGTGACCATCAATTGAGGAATGGTTGAAGAAGTTTTGGCATGAAGGTCAGCTAATTGTGAAATGAAGTTAGGAAGACCTGTGTTCAATCCACCCTCATATACTTACTAGCTGTGTGACTCTAGGCAAGTCACTTAACCTGGTTGCCTTAGTTTCCTCATATGTAAAATGGGGATCATAATAGCACCTATCTCCCAGGGTTGTTGCGAAGATCAAATAATATCTGTAAAGCACTTAGCACAGTGCCTGACACATAGTAGGCAGTTTAATAAATGTTTGTGCCCTTCTCCTTCTCTATAAACGTAATGGAATATTGTTACTGTTGTTGTTTAGTTGTTTTTAGTCATGTCTGACTCTTCATGACCCCATTTGGGGTTTTGGCAAAGATACTGGAGGGGTTTGCATTTCCTCTTCCAGCTCATTTTACAGCTAAGGAAACTAAGGCAACCAGGTTAAGTGACTTGCCCAGGGTCACACAGCTAGTAAGTGTTGGAGGCCAGATGATCTTCCTGACTCCAGGCCCAGCAGTCTCTCTACTTGCCTTAAGAAATGATGAAAGGGGCAGTTTCAGAGAAAGCTGGGAAGACTTATACGAACTGATGCATAGTGAAGTGAGTAGAACCAGGAGAACAATTACAATAATATAATGAATGCAATGAAAGACAAAGCCAATGAGAGTCCTGGGCTTGAATACTTTGCTGCCATTCCATGCGAAGGCTAGGAGGCCTGATTCTAAAAGTCGCATTTTAGTATGTAATGGAGAGGCTGGGCCCCTAACTCAGAGTACTTGCAAGTATTCTATAACTGTTTGCAGTCTGTTCAGATTGCAAGCCTTTTGATTGAAGGCAGAGCTGGAACTAACTGTGCATTGAAAAGTGTGCTAGTATGCCAAAGCACCCTTTTAACTCTTCCTGGCTGTGTGTGAGTGAGGAGGGAATAACTGTTGCAAAACTAGAGGCCCTGTCAGAATTTGTAGGCAGGCAAGCGTGGTGAGGAGGAACCTGTTTGACACAGCGTTATCGGGAGATCAAGCCAAGAGGAAGCAGCTAGTCCATCAGCTATGCCAAACTTGGGAGTGAACTTGGTGGGACAAAGGTTTGGATAGCATTGATTTTAAGTCTGAGCCCACTGTCCCCAGGACCTGAGATAGTAGAGGAAAGAGTGTGCCCCTAACATATTGGAATGGAAATGCTTGTAACTTCTATTCTGGCTGTGTCTTCTCAGTAAATATCCTTTTGTAAAAGCTAACTGATATTAATTGGTTAAATTATATTAGAGGGAGAGTAGAGCCAAGATGGTGAAGTACAAACAGCAACCCAGCTGAACTCTCCCAATATTCCCTTCCAAGCAACTTTAAAATAACTCACAAAATCTAATTTTAGAGTGACAGAGCCAACAAAAATTCAGTGAGACATTTTTCCAGCCTAAGAGAACTTGGGAGGTTGGTAGGAGAGGCGTATCACCATACTGGGGTAGGGTAGGACCAGAGCATATGCAGCGGCGGTATCAGTCACGGGCTTTGGAGGCTGGGACAGTGGCAGCAGCGATAGCAGCATCCAGAAACAATAAGAGAGTTAGACAACTGGTCAGAAAGAGATTACAAGGGACTTTTTGCTGTCACTGATTTTCAATTCTATTGCCTATAAGCAGTTAGGGTCACAGTTCCAGGGCAGAGAGGAGTTCTTTTTATCAGTCACAAGGCAGTAGGGGCCTTGGCTGCAGTTCTAACACAAAGAGAAGCACTAGTGCTTTCTGCTATAGGGGAACAGGGACCCTTCCTGGGCAAAGACCAGAGCACAGACCAAGAGAGCAGTGACCACATCTCCCTCTGGATCATGCCACCTTGGAAGCACAGAAGAATCGCAGAACTAGCTCTGAAAACAGCAACACAAAAAAGTCTGAAGCCTGGGACAGCGCCTTCCAATCCCCAGGTGGGCAGAACCCAGGGTTAGGATAAAATTCAAAGTCAACAAATAGGCTGGAAAATGAGTGAACAACACAAGAAGAACTTGACCATGAAAAGGAGCTACAGTGGCAGGGAAGACTAAGACACTAACTCAAAAGATGACAACAGTGTGAAAACAGCTATAAACAAAGCATCAAAGAAAAATGCTAATTGGATGTAAGCCCAACAAGAATTCCTGGAAGAGTTGAAGAAAGAGATAAGAGTGGCAGAAGAAAAACTGGGGGGGGGAAATGAGAGTGATGCAAGAAAACTATGAAAAAAGAATAGCTTGGTAAAAGAGGTACTGAAATTCACTGAAGAAAAACTCAAAAAGCAAAATAGGCCAAATGGAGAAGGAGGTACAAAAATTCACTGAAGAAAAGAACTTCCTAAAAAGCAGAATTAGCCAAATGGAAAAGGAGATACAAAAGCTCGCTGAAGAAAATAATTTCTTAAAAATTAGAATAGGGCAAGTGGAAGCTAAGACTTGATGAGATATCAAGAAATAATAAAACAAAGTAAAAGGAATGGAAAAAATAGGAGAAAATATGAAATATCTTATTGGAAAGACAACTGACCTAGAAAATAGATTAAGGAGACATAATTTTAAAATTATTGAACAACCTGAAAGCCATTATAAAAAAAAAGAACCTAGACATCATCTTTCAAGAATTTATAAAGGAAAACTTCCCCAATATGTTAGATCCAGAGGGCAAAACAGAAATTGAAAGAATCTACTGATCACCTTCTGAAAGAGATCCCAAAAGGAAAACTCTCAGAAATATTATAGCCAAAATCCAGAGTGTCCAGGTCAAGGAAAAAATATGGTGAACATCCAGAAAGAAATAATTAAAATATCATGGAGCCACAGTCAGGATGACACAAATTTTAGCAGCTTATATATTAAAGAAAGAGAGACCTTGGAATATTCTAGAAAGGACCTAGGATTACAACCAAGAATCACCTACCCAGCAAAATTGAGTATAATCCTTCAGGGGAAAAAATGGACATTCAGGAAATGGAGGACTTATTCAGGAAAAATTCAGGAAATAGAGGACTTCCAAACATTCCTGATGAAAAAGATCAGAGTTGGATAGAGAATCTGAC